AGGTTGAAGAACCGAGGTTTTCAAATGTTAAAAACATTTGTAATTCTTCTCATAATTTACTATACGAGTACATATTGAAAAATACAAATCTCCTATAGACTAATGTGAAGTAAAGTAAAAATTCTTTGACATGATGAGTTCAAGATGTGAATCAAGGTCCCTTATGATCATTTGGTGCTTTCCGAAACTGTGATGTTGGAGCTCTGATTATTATTAAAGCAGGACAATCCCAACCTTTGAAAAATATGTGACCTATAATGTGAAATTATTAAAAAAAAAAAACAATTACATATCTATTCCCAAATTTATCGTAATAAACATAAAAAAATCACTCTTCTCAGCAAACACATCAGTCATTGATCCCTAACATTACATATAAATTGGGACACACCATAGAGCACGCTATAAATCAGAACATGTTTGCATGCGGTGCCCATAAAAGAACAGATTACTGAGGATAATCCAGTTTGTATTTTTTATCCTTTAATATATGTTTATGATTATGTGCGCCACTCATCCTCTAATCTCTAAAATATGGACTAAAAACCTGGCTTCCAAATCGCTTAAAAGTAGATTATGCAGCTAAATTAAATAATAATACAAATTAAGCTTCTAAATTTCCTAACTTTCTTTTCCATCTTCGTGGATTATTAATAACTAACGATCCGCCAGGTGCAATGTAGAAACTACTAATACTACTAATGTGGTGTCACTGTGCAGTAGTTAATTATACTATTATTAGGGTAAAACTATACTTCAGGACATCCTTATATGCAACATATGCGCGACGACGGCCGTTTTTTCCCCGCATTTTAAATCTCTGATATTGTCTAAAATATCATCACCATTTTAATGATATGCTGTAAAGAGCAATTTTGATCGACGTTAAATGCACAACGTTCCTAACTAAATTATAAAATGGTTATTGTAGGTTATCTTTAGGAGGTAGATATATAACATCGTAGACTTTTTTGTGGATATTTTTGAGATACAAAATTCTGTAGTAAGTACACTATTTTGATCTTTCTCGTAAGGTTTAGTTTTGTTATTATTAACAATATGGAATGTCACCACCCCTATTCATAATGTGGGTGTCGTAACAACCGACTATGGGAACAAACTGCACAGGACAACAGCACTGCAAAAATCAACCCGTCTAGCTGGTATAGTTGGCCAAACTTGTAGGTAAATAATTGATGGTGGTGACGTGTGGTGACGGATTAAGAATACAGAGTGTCACCACCCCTATTCATCCCGTGGGTATCGTAAGAGCCGACCAGTAGGCCAAAACCTCTTTTCTAAGGAGAGGCCTATGTCCAGCTGTGGACTATTATAGGCTGTTGATGATGATTACGACTTCACATTACAGATATTTGAAGTTGCCGGATTTCCTCTACTATAATATGCATGTATCATTACCTCTTGAATCACTCTTTATCATCCCAATAATAACCGCATTAAAATCCGTTGCGTAGTTTGAAAAGTCTAAGCGAACAACAACATTAACACATTAACAGTGGCGACCGTTTAAAGTTATAGCTACACACCTTATAATTTCGATAAAATCCTTGTTAAATTGGTAGCTGTTACATTTACGCTATTTTCGCAGCAAATGGTTTGAATGAAAGGTATTGATTGAAATTAAATTGATCTATCTGTACAAAGTGTCTCGACACAGGTAGTCAATCGTTACCCTCAGATACCGTAGATAAAGTCCATTAAAATTTATCATTAGGTAATGATGTGGTGTGTGGTGTGTGACAGATTAAGAATAACAGTGTCACCACTCCCATTCATCCCGTGGGTGTCGTAAGAGCCGACTAAGGGAGCAAACTACCCAGGACAACAGCACTGCAGAGAGAAGGAAAACTTGACACAAACCCTATACCAACCCGTCTGGCCAGCTTGGTATAGTAGGCCAAAACCTCCTTTCTAAGGAGAAGCCTATGTCCAGCAGTGGACTATTAAAGGCTGTTGACTTAATGTGATGTGAAGATAAAAGAAAATCTACCTGATTTGAGGTAGGGCGAATCAAAATTGTAAAGTCGACCTTTCTTTGTCAAAATTCAATTATTGTGCCATTATAAATTAAATCTAGACAATGCCAAACTTTCTCTAGCAATAAGACACTTCGTCGTCTGACTTTATTTTAGAGCCTATTAACAAAGTAAAAAGTTAAATTTTGTTGTGAGAATAAATTTATAGGTATTAAGGAGTATTTACCTGGCATACATCTTAATGGTGGTTTAAAAACTGCAACATTTAATAAAATTATAGTTTTATGTTTTAAAATAGCCTAACTATACTTTTTTACATAAAATCTATCAAAATAAAACTCATTAGTCAAATACAAAACGAGATAAAGGACCTTACACATAAAAAAACAAAGTTCGTTTTTGAAATGCTTAATTTGCTTTGTAAATTAGAAAGTTAAAATAAAAATCCTAAAAAATTAAAATCGATGGTCACTCTATTACCTCCATGACAGGCTCCATTATCAGCGAACGTCGATGGCACGCAGAAAATATTTCCCTTTCAAAACCCTTTGGACTATGTCCATTTTAGGAACCTCTTTGTCATTGTCAATCGTATTGATTTTCACTTTAGAGTGTTTAAAAAAGTTGGGAATTGAATCGGTATTTTTGTTGAATGTTGTGTGTTGTGTGTACATAAAAGATAGTGGTGACTCGAAATACTGTAACAAAAAATGTTGGTAAATAAATGTAAAAAACGTTTTCTATTTCAAACTAAGCAAATATTTATTAATTTTCGAAATTAACTGATCATTTTTTATTAATGATATGAATTACACATTGTCACCGCATCAGAGCTATGCTTCGACATAATATATGGGACGGCACGACCAAACTGTTACTTCGATCTGACAGAAAACATTGTTAAACAATGCATTTGTTGTGTTTTAAATAGTGATTGAAATCAACGCTAACTATGCCCCCCCCCCCCCCCCTGCCCCTTAGGTACTTTGGTCATTTAAAGAGCTTTAACACTGTTGTCGGTGTTATATCATAAAAATATTTAAAGCACACACTACACTTACACTCTTTTGTAGGAATATATAACATGGCAAGCTTGATTGTAAACATATAGGTAATTACTAAGTTCGATAGTAATAAATAAGTGACCCCGTTTTTAACTTTAATGTGTGCAGCTTTATTTCTTTATGAATGACCGCTTTCCATTTCGGTGAGATTATTAATAAGTGTAAAATGACAAAAATAAAACAAATTCCGTACAAACCTGTTTATGTTAGAAAATAAAATTCTTAAAGACAAATATTTTATTAGAAAGTAGATTGACTGCCTTTTTACTAGTTTAAAAGTAGTAAGTACAGTAAACAGTATATAAGGTGAGGAAATTAAATAACATATCACATAAAAATAATTTTATTGTAAACTACAACTAACATTTAATTTAATAACGTATTTTTATGAAGCAAACCACATTTTTTAGTGTAATATTATAATATTCTTGAACATATAATTTAAAATCTTACACCTAAATACATAATAAAGTAATCATTTCTGATCATACCATATCTTCCTAATAAATCAATTTTAGGGAAGGGAAAAATATTCGTATACAGTAAAGTTAATTCAAATTGACATATCCGTGTATTTTGTCCGTTTGATTCTACACTGCAAAAACAACTTTGATAAAAATCTAAGAAACAAGTTCTGATATCAACCAACAAGTGCAAAACTCATCATCTATTCATTACCTGGGAAGAATAGTGCGAACAAAAGAAAGCGAAAGGAATTTAGAAAGAAGAATTTCGCAGTAAATTCCGATAATACACTCCGTTGCTCCAGAGGTCATATATTCACAGCACCTTTTCTATACATCCTTGAAGTACTTAGTCATTAAAAACCTATATCATGTCTCTTTGTCATCAGTAAAATAAAGAGGATATACCCTCAGGCTTCATGTCTAATGACGTTTTTTTGTTCATTATCTTTTAGAAATTGGTATTTAAATATCTTTTGCACTGATGGCAGACAAGAGTTGACTCCCGACCTATGCTTTAAGATGCAAACACTTTAAGAAAAAATCTGTCTCCAGTAAGTATGTGTGACAATCGGTCATACGAGTATCACCTTCCTACCCACTCATATGATGTGTAGACTATATGTAAGAAGAGTTAATTGATTATATTCATGATTTAATTAGTTCTTGCAATGACAAATGAATTGTTTCCTGAGTTGTCAAGCCCTAACAAACATTATCACAATAATTAAATAAACGTGTTTTCTAAGGTTTCTCGTGACAAAGATACACTTAAGCAAGGTGACAATTTTTTTTTATAAGCGATGTTCTTAAGCTATTAAAGAAAAAACACTTAAAAAACAATAACACAATCTTATCGTCTTCTAATTAAAAATAACTAAACGATTAATAGTGAAAGCGGCCACTCACCACTGATATGATAATACATTGAAACAAATAAAAAAAACTTGTAGTCCATTTGTAACATCATAAATTAATGCTATTTTAGTATAAAAACATTTAGTTTATGGTATTAATTTTCCGGTATTTAAATAAAAAGTATGTCAATATGTCTATTTGTTCCAGCTAATCACCGAAACGGATAAACCGATTTCTACGGAAGGTTTTAGGCAGATTTCTAAAGTTACAACAAATAATTTAGGCTACTTTTATTTAAAAAAAGTTGTTTGAATTAATAGTTATTAAATAATTTGACAAATAGCGATTTCAATTCATTTTATTTTTATTTTTGAACATAAATATTATACACAAATATTATAAACTAGTTGTACCGTGCCCTGCTATTCTGCGGCACATTGAATTGCAATAATGAGAAATAAGGAACCAAACTGACGCAATAAATAGATAAAAATAATTCTTGAACCGGTTTGTATAATATCTTGTCAAAGTTTGAACTCAATCGGTGAAGAACTCTTTGAGTTTCTGAAGCGTACGCAAACCAACTCAACATTTATATAAATAATATAAAATAATTTCTAATCTCTAGTTTCAAATCGCAGCCAAATATCTCTATCAACAACTCTTCCAAAGTTGTGATCGACCATTTTCAGTTTTGACGGTGTTTTAGCACAAGGATGAAGGGTATACTTATTCAAAATGCACTTGGTCACCTTCTTTATTATATTTAGAGCCAATTGCTCTCCTGTAAAAAAGAAAAACTTAGATTAGACATGTAGTACAGTAATATGAGTACTGAAATTTAAAAACAAGTAATGGTATGAATACGGAAACTCCAACATTAAGAAGAACTGGTATTGGTGCCAATGCTCCATGTGCTGGATAGCATAAGGTGTAAAATAGTTGCAGCAACATTAGTTGATTTCAACCTTGGTTCATTTCATTATCATCAACAATAGTATTTATGAGTCCACTGCTGTACATAGGCCTCTCCTTAGAGAGGAGGTTTTGGCCTACTATACAACGCTGGCCAGACGAGTTGGTATAGGATTTGTTTCAAGTTTTTCTTATACCACGGGATGAATAGGGGTAGTGAAACTCTGTATGATTATCTGATCTGTATGATCTGTGTCTATGTATGTATGTTCTCAGTATGTATTGATTTACCATTTACCAAGCATTAATCAACATGGGACTCTTTTCCAGACTGTTGAGAGACTGTTGTCTTGATTTGTTTTAATCCTTTATTTTGATTTTTGTATTATCATAACACACTGTGTGTACCTTTAAGTAACTGTTAAGTTCATGTTTAATAATATTCTATGTGTAAAATGTATGTAAATGTGAAAAGAATTAATAAAAAAACAACCAATTAAATAAGTGACTAATATAAATAAACAAGTTAAATGTATAAAATAGGCCTCTACCTATACTACTGACACTATCTATATTACTGTCATTGTAGATCTTAATATATCATTATGTCACTATATTTAGGTGTAAATAAGTTTTGAGGCGGCGAGTCTCCTGGCCGGAACTCCACCGTGGGACCTGGAGGCGAGAGCCCTTGCGGCTCTGTATCAGTGGCGCAAGGAGGCGCGGGAGTTCGGGAGAAATCGATGACCGGAAATCCCAACTCCGCCAGGTCATCATAGGGGAGTGGAGGGAACGACTCGAGCAACCGAGCGCCGGGCACGCCGTCATCGCGGCGGTAAGACCCGTTATGGAGGATTGGCTCGAGAGGCGTCACGGGACCCTCTCATACCGATTGACGCAGGTGATCACTGGGAAGGGATGTTTCGGGGATCACCTGTGTCTGATCCGCAAGGAGCCAACCCCTGAGTGCCACCACTGCGATGGCCAGACCGTGGACACGGCTCTCCACACGCTGGCAGAGTGCCTGGCGTGGGTTGAGCAGAGGCGAGACCTCGTGGCCGCCATCGGAGTGGGAGTTCTCTCGCTCGATAGCCTGATTGCGGCTATCGTGCGGAGCGAGAGTGCGTGGAACTCTGCCGTCTCCTTCTGCGAGCAAGTTATGCTCGCAAAGGAGACGGCGGAGCGGGACCGGGAGAGGTTTAGGACTCTCCCGGCCCGCCAGGCCCGGGAACGGGCCAGGTACCGCAGGCGACTCAGGCGCCGGAGGTCGCAGAATGACCTCCGTCCTCCATAAGCGCAGGCCTGGGGGTGACAGGTGAGGCCATCTGTCACCCTAGCAGAAGCAGGCCGGGGTGGCGGCGAGCGCGTTGCGAAGCGCGCTCGCTTCCAGGGAGCACAGGGAACATGGGGTTCCCACACGGGGGGGGGGGGGTCGTCTACTCGTCTGTAGATGACCCGAGGTATGTCGGGGCACCAGGGACTTCCTTTCTAGGGTATACCTGGTTCTACGGCTATTAGTACCCGAGACGGCGTGCGGTTTTAGTCGGTTCGAGTCCGACATGCCACCGACAAGTGGTATCCGAGGGGATTTCCGCACGGAAAAAAAAAAGAAAAAAAGAGGTGTAAATAAGTTCCAGTTTGGATCCCCGAATCGAACAAATAATTCTGTTTGAAATTCACAATAAGAAGACTAATTTTAAAATCGTATGGGCAACGAACTACTATTGGAATATGACATCGCGCTTGTGATTATTTTTGACACAAACAGGTATAAAATGTAAAGGACGTTAATGAAATGTTTGGAGTTTTCAAGAAATATAAAAATAATAATAAGTAAATAAAATTTAATTGACAGGCATTAGGATTTTAGGAATCACCATAGAAATCACCTTTAATGGGTGAGCCCATAATGGGCACGGCACATTCACGGCATCCGAATGAATCAAAAGATGGGGTGTTTTACAAGCCATTTGGCCACGCTGAATATTTTATCAGTTATTTCAAAAATCATTTACATTATTAGAAAAAGTATAAAGACATCTGTAAAATAATTAAATTAGTTCTTCGGTAAAATTCTACTTTCTAATAAAATTATATTAAATATTATTATAATTTTGGTTCTTGATTGGATTGGATAGAACTCACAACACTCCGTGCAGCAGAAAGCGGCTAGGTAACAACTTAAACTACTACGCCATCCGTAAAATAACTGCTTTAGAGTTCAATTTCAATTACTGAAGATGTCAACGTCGAGCGTCTGCGAATACTCGTTAGTGACTTTGTCCTCTTTAATACAATAATAACATTGCTGGCCTCAATAGCTGTTTATACAGTGAAAGCCCGTTAAGTATGAACTTATGAAGATTTCAAAGTTCTCTTTGTTAAGCAAAGTGTGTTATACAAAATAAAACCGCACACACAAATGCGTCGAATAGACTCAGCTGTGCAGAATATTTTTAAAAACAATTTGTGAACTAATTGACATACAGACAGTCAGATTGTTGCCGACAACATTTTGTCTAACTTCGGACTGCAGAAGGGGGTATCCGATCAATTAATAACTTAGGCAATTCGAGTTATCCGAGGCGGATATTTCAATAAATAATGGTGGTGCAATGACAATACATCTGAGAAAACTTGGTATATGTACATTATTCTTACACATTACACGTCATTAATATTAACTTGTCCGTGTGGTAACGGAGTAAGAATACGAAGTGTCCACTACCACCCCTATTTATCCCGTGGGTGTCGTAAGATCCGTCTAAGGGAGCTAACTACGCAGGATATACAGCACTGCAAAGACAAGGAAAACTTGAAACTAACACTATACCAAACCGTCAGGCCAAAACCTTTTTTCTAAAGAGAGGCCTATGTCCAGCAGTGGACTATTAAAGGCTGTTATTGTTTGTTGTTGAATATTAACTTATTGCTCCTTAAAAAGTTAACATATCGCGTCATTGGCAATTAACATATAGACTCTAAATCTGAACAAATTTAAGTGCTACAAGTATTCAGTCTCTTAATATTCATACGTGAAGAATGTTATTTGATTTTTTATGGCACACTGGCCAAAAGGGAAGCCAGGTCATCTGATATTAGATAACTACTGCCGCTCATAGACACCTGCAATTCAAGAGAGAGTAGTGCGTTGTAGCCCTTTGGCCAATTATTAATAACTAGCTGACCCTGCAATTTTTTTTTTTTTTAATTTCGTAAAATCCGTTCTTAGCTGACCTCTACTCGGTGAAAAGAATATTCCTACCAAATTTCAAGTCTTTAGCTCTAATGGTTCCAGAGATATCGTGATGAGTGACTATATACGTGGAAATCTCTTATATGTATATAGATAATTAAATGTAGAAGTACAGAAATATGTGCTTTAATATTAAACTATAGAAGTCCAAAATATATGTTGGCCTGTCATGTTATAAAAGTCTATACGATGACGGATGGCGGTCAATAAAATAAATTAAGACTTGAACGGCCGAAATTCGAATACTGTGACCGGCGCCGCGACGCCCGTAGGCTATCTTAGTAACAGTAAAACGACTACTATACACACAGAATATAATACATGGTTAGTATAGTGTGCCATCAACTGTATTGTGTTCGAAATGGCGTATCGCTGTTTGCACACAGTTAAACATTATGTGTTTTTGTAAATGTACAAACAACCCACATAAATGTATTCTTCTACAGAAAATAAAGACATATTTACGATAAGTATGACAAATGAATGTCAATAAATATTTGTGAGGTTTTTAAAAAGGTTTCAAGAGAAGGTACCCGCCTTCTTCTTGAAGAAGCTACTCATGGATTTCATTTGTAGGCTGCTCCTGGTTCCCCGGCTACTGGTATCTGAGACGGCGTGTGCGGTTTTTAGTCGGTTCGAGACCGTTAAAATTGTAATGTCTAACTAAATGAACTGACTCTTTCAAGAAATTGGGTTATAAACTATAAATTTAACCAAACAAGTTTGAATTAATTAAAAAAAAAGTAATATACTATGTCAAGATTTTGTCGTAAACTGATGAATGCTTATTGTAGTTTTACGAATACACATTTCGAAAGTCTTTGCGGGTATCATTACCTCTACGCAGATGCGATTAAGGTCAGCGTGCCTCAGCCATCACTTGTGACCGCACTAGAAGAAATATTGTAGCTTTAGCTTTAATATATCTCACAATTTTCACACACGGCCATCTGATCCCAAACTTAGCAGAGCCTGTACTATGGGAACCAGACTGCTGATAAACATACTTATATATTTTTAAAATACGTGCATGTAATAGATAAATTACACCCAGACACAGAACATACCGTGCTCATCACACAATATCCGAATATATAATTGAACCTACGACCTCCGGATTAGCAGTCAGAGTCACTAACCACTAGACCAACAGGCCCGTCTTCAATCGTTATATGTCTGGCACTTTATCATTACACAATAAACTTAATATAAGTTTACTTGTATTCAATGTTAGAAAATTAAACAATGCCTTTATAAGATTATTAACAAACAGATCATTATTCTTTCACTATAATAATCTTAAGAAAGGGACCACTATTGTTTTATTATTAAAAACTGAACTTGGCGTATATTTCCTTTAAAAATGACAAATCGTGGGAGAGCCATGCTTGATCGGAATGATACCACGACCTCACAGTAAACCGGTGTGAAGCAGTTCTTTCGTTGCTTTTCTCCGAGTGAGTGAAGTTATTGGAGTCCAATCTCCCCCCCCACCTCCCCCATTCTGGGGTAGGGGACTAAAAAGGTTACAACGCACTTGTGAATCTTGAGTTGCAGTTGTTTATGGACGGTGATAGTCAATTACGTTTACAAATACGATTTAACTATATTCATATGTATTATTACAATAACACAGATAGAAGAAAATAACTGGCAAATGGTTTCAAACATAGGTAACTTGAAAACTTAAAAATATAAACAGAAATTGCAGAATCATCCGCATCACGTTACACCTTACATGTCCCTTGAAAACTTGCAGCGGAATGGTATACTACTGACTGCTTACAGGAGCTATAAATACAAAGCCTTTTAAATTAATTATGCAGTACTGTCAGTGAATTTAAAAACGAACGAACAACTAATGGATGAGTAAAGGGCACAAACTCAGAACCACAACTTTTTATGAAACTATTATTAGTTTGTTTTTCAGGTAACTGTCAAACAAATCATTATCAGAACACTAGGCGTTCTCCGCAGTTTTACCTGCAGTATTGCTCCGCTCCTAAAAATAACATTTGGTTTTATGTCTGGTACAAAAAGAATCATTCAAATTATCTCTGATCCATCTCTGGTAGTGATCTATTAGTCTTATCTGGTAGTGAATTATATTATTTTGTTATCATAAACTAAACTCAACAAGTTCAGATAAATCCACAGCATGAAAAAGTGGGTTGACTTCGAGAAATAATTTCCATATATTAACGTATTGAGTAGCAAAGCATACAATAGTAGTTTAAATCTCAATTGTTATGCACTGCTTGCTTGCTAACTACAACGCTAATAACAATATAATTAACTGCAGACTTCAACACATTTTTTTTTTATTTTATGCGTCTATGAGCGTCTTAATAACAGGGGTACAAAGTTCGAATGTAACCTGGTATATATTATTCGGGTTCTAACAGATTCCTGGTAAATCCTATAATTAATACACTCATAAAAAATAATATAAGCAAAAGGTTATACTTGTACATAAGTAATGAATGTACTATACAAATATGAATACAATCATATGTAAACATAAAATACATGGGTTTTGAAAGTACGAGCGTTGACAGCCTAGGTTAGCTGTGTGTTAATAGAAAGTAGCCTTCGGCAACATTTCAAACAATTTCTCTGAACACAACTCATTATAGATATAATATAATCAGTAGAACACAAATAAGAAAGTAATCACTTTTCTGTACCGCTTGCGAGTTTAAGGTCACCGACAATGTTTATGGTTCGTCTTAGCACTGAGTAAAAAATGTTTTTGAAATCATTTTCTGTATTGGCAAACGAAACGACGACGAAACGACAATTGCCATTTGCCATTTGTTAAGAAACAAGCGGGGACCTGCAGTTTTTTGTTTTGTTCTATTGAACATAATACATTACTTTGTGAATGTTGGCTATTTACTCGTAACTTTTTTCTGACAACAACTGATGAGTTGTAGTAGTAGTTGTTGTTATAGTTGATTGTACATGATATATTGAGATCTTGGTGCAAAAACTTTTCTTGAAAAGATTATAAAACGATTGAGCAACAATAAACTTGTGAAGCAAACTTGAACGTACAGTACTAATGTTATGTAAATTCTGCCTAGTTACGTTAAGTGCTTGTGTTAGGAATGGGTTCTCATCGGTTCTGATTGGGATTCGATTCACAAACACTGAATTTTAAGTCCAATGCCTTAACCATTACGATTCTGCCGCTTGCAAAGCACATTTGTAATATACATATATTATATTTGACTGCACGGATGGTGTAGTGGTTTAAGCGGTCGCCACGCCGCGTACTACTACGCTGACTGTTGTGGGTCCGATCCTCACATAGGACGACACTTTGTGTAATAATAATTTGTTATTTTGAGTGTGGGTGTTCCTTGTGTCCGTTTTATGTATGTTTGCAAAGTTTCCCACGACACAGGATATATTCTTAATGCGGAAGTTGTCTTTATAAAACAAATAAATAAGTAAAATTTAGATATAATTTATGCACACTACTTTTTGGAACTGAGAAGTAATTATTGAACCTGCGCGTTTTTAATGTGCAGTCGAATGCAATACTAAAATAGGTCATCTTATAATTACAGATCATAAACAAAAAGTAATAAAATAATTTGTAATCCTTTTAAGTCTTTAACAGTCTTTGAAAGTCCGCTGCTGGACACGGGCTTCTCCGTGGAAATGAAGTTTCGGCCTACTATACCAAGTTTGTATTATGGTATTCTGAGTGGTTGAAGTGATTGTGAACCATTTGATAGCAGGCCAGCGTCTGAACTGTTTACGCCACCGAATGTTCGGTTGTTGCGATACGATGTTCGCATAAACTTTCAGCAACTTTCAGCATGTCAGCATAAGATTTCAGTGAATTTAGTTCAATTGAAAGACTAAACAAATAAATAAGTCTAGATATAGTATTAAATAGAATGAATATATTACAGAACAAAAGTGTTAACGTAAGCGCTTAAGAACATATATTTGTGTAGTAGTCCTGCGTAATTTCGCTGTGTTATGTGAGCAAAGTTTAACTTGAACTTATTGAAATACCTTACCTCTCTCTCTTTTACCTCTCGAGAATACTACTATGATATAAAATATTTTTGTCTCGTAAGTGGTTGATTACAGAAAAGGACAAAGGTCAAATCCTTTTCTTTATCTTCGACTATGTGTATGAAACATTTTATGATGTTACAGTTTACTCATAAATACGTAGCAAACAAACAAACTTACTTTGGCATTTACAATATTTTGAAGAATAATCTAAGAAATCTGAGATCTTACCAATACATTTTCTAGGGCCAGCTCCAAATGGGAGGTAAGAGTAACAATGCTTCGATGCTCCGCCGTCTTCCAAGAACCGATCCGGATTAAAGACATCAGCTGTAACATAATTTGCTTCATCTCTATGTAAAGCTTCTACTGGTACATTAATTGTTACATTTCTATCAATAAGTAAACCACCTTCCGGATGATGTGTCTTCGTGCAAAGTCGGGAAATAATTGAATAAGGTGGATACATCCTTAAAACTTCTTTTATTGCAAAATCCAAATATTCTTCCCGATTATTCTTTGAAACAGAGTTTCGCGATTTCTCTTGCACTTTGGGATTTAATGCCAACTCGTACAGAAAAGCGGTCAAAGCATTTAGACACGGTAAGTACCCTTCAGTGATGAACGAAGCTAATATAGAAAAGGCGAACTCTACTTCAGTACTTTTCTTGTTTTTCTCTTTTATCCCTAGTTGATAAACGGTACCAAGGTTCCTAATTTTAGACATCAAAACAGATTTCTTAAGAATGTTTTCTGTTTTCAAATAGGGCTCGCCGAAAAAAGTTGCGAATCCCAACATAACATATAAGGACGGGCTAATGTTCCTTAAATAAGTCTTAAATCTCTGTATAAAAGTACGTCTTTGGGCAATGGATCTTAAATCTTTCACTACTGACCCACCGTCGGCACCAAGAAGCAAATCCTCAAAGACTTTATCCAATACCTTCGACAATATCTCTTGAACGTTCGCATCACAGCTTGTTCCCGGCAAACAGTCACTCAAATTCTCCAATTCGCAGTGCGTGATACTCAATAATGATTCGTAACCTGTACGCAATAGGCTCCACTTTTCACCGTCAGCATAAAACAAATTGTCTCGTAAACAAACATCCTGAGATTTGTCCAAGCATACACCTCTACTATGGAAATTGGCAAAATCCGTCGACAAGATCCTTTTTACCGTGTCAGGGTCTTTCACTATGAGGTCTGGAATCCTGCTTTTGATGCTGCCAACATACTTACTTTCAGGATATTTTGTATATAAAGCATTTACTTCTTCGGTGGTGCTTCTTATTCCTAAAACACGATGATAATCACTTCCGAAGAATGGAACCGGTGTTTTATAGGGTACATGACGGACGTACCAGTAGCTGAAGAACTTTGTAATGTAATCGAATATTAGAGCGAGTATTAATATACCTAATACCGCGAGGTTCACGAGGAGACTTTCGAAAAACATGTTGCGTTCGGCCGCGATGAGGTTTCGTTTGATACTGTTTGATGCAAGAAGCGCGAACTAGGTCGACTACGGTACCATGATCTACGGTCCAAGAGGCTGGGCTCCGTGGCAATGAACTTAACATTAAAAACCATAACTAGACACTAATGTATTTATCAGTTCCTCAGAAGGTCTACAAATATATTTTAAGCATAATTTAATTTCATTAATTAAAAAAAAATAAGTTGAACTAGGTAATTAGTGTTCGCAATTCTTAGTATTATTATAATTTTTAACTGAAATTGTATTATTAGTGAGAAAAATAGAGAAATTAGTTCTGTATAATAATATTATAAAATTTATAAAAATCAAATTCTGCAACGCATTTTATTTTAGATATCTCAAAATGTATCAGTAGATGCTGTGCTTGTTGATCTAGCAGTTAGCGATCCTGCCTGTTAAGACACTGGTTGTGGATTCGATTCTTTCCCGAGATAAATACTATGTTAAAAGTACGATCATTTGTTCTTCGTCATAATGTAGTTTAACTACATTATCTATTTATTTAGAGATTTATAAGCATAATTAATTATCATTAGTATGTTTACCATAGTTCAGGCTCAGCTTATTTAGTATTAGACGGCCGAATGTAAGATGTACCAAGTTATTCATTTTTATTTAGCATTTATAGAGTAAATAGATACAACAATACACCTTACAAAGATAAGAATTCAAAGATTCCTACAGAACGTTCAATATTTATCTTAACTATTTTCAGCGTGGGCGGTGTCAGCGCCTATAAATTAAGATATAAGTTTTTCTAGCCGTCCAATAATAACTGAACGAACATTACGCTCTCCCAGAAGGATATGAGACAGTGTGAGAAGCTGCCGTTAAGGGCAGGCCCCCGAACAGCCTCTGACTAGATTTAGCAGACTGCTGTACGCGGCGATCGCTTCCAAGTTATACTCGACGACTTTCTTTAAATTGAGACTATAAAACATGGCGTTTTAACAGAATGTAACACCGCAAACTGCATGAACTACAACCGAGATTTGAAAGCCGCTTTTTCAGGTCATCTAATCACTCGTTTAGGCGAATCGCAATAGGCTTTAAAATTGCCATTTCAGACTTTTTGAAGTGACGAGTCTATGTGTATATATTATATTATATACTTTACACGATCCATGCTAAAATATTAACTCAAAACATTTTGGGTCTGTCTGTCTGCCTGTAGCGGCTAATTTCCATGATGTGTGTACCGATTTTCACTGGAATTTCAATGGCTAAAAGTTGTTAGTATGAGGAGAGACTAGTTTTTAGAGTTTTTAAAGAATAAGGTTTCAGTACAATAAATTTAAAGATATATGCATTTAAATATCATAATATAACAAAAAATATCGCTTGTCAAATTACAAATAATAATATATATTATGAGCATATGACATTTGTCGATTTCTGCCCCACTTTTTCTAAAATCTGTTATTCCAGGATGAGGAAATGTGGCGAAGAAAGTGTTAGGTGTGGGAGTTGAAGAGTATAAGAGAAGACTAAGACCAAAGAAAAGGTGAATGGACTGTGTGGGTGAGGACATGGCTACGAAGGGAGTAAACAGTGAAATGACGAATAATAGAATATAATGGAATATAATTGGGATAAGGGTTGGCAGATGATGATGAGTATTTTGTCACCTTTTAATTTCATTTTTTTTCTTTTTACCGCGTAGCATAAATTAAATATAAGTAATGAGTGGATAATGTTATTAGTAGTATAACAAAAAAGTAAACTTAAAACTAGTTACTATTGTGTAAAATATTTCATTGTACTACTGTTTTTATATATAAAAATAAAATAAAATAACGCACCAATCAATATTATTTAGAACTTGATTAGCAACTTACATTGATATTCCATAGTACCTATACCTTGAATTCCTCGAAACCTACCTATCTATACTCATATATTTATTAATGCCGGCTTCGTTGATTTCGTGGTATAACTTAGCTTGTTTGTTTCTAATAGGGAATTTTTGGGTTATTATTGATTTTAACTATTTGGAAGTTCTCAGAAGCAGTACAGAGGTTGGGAAAATCCCCAATTATTGAGAAACGATATTGGAAACAAATCTATAGCTTGCGAAATGTGTGTAATGGTAGTCTATAGAAATTAGTAAATTGTTAAAATAACCAAGATGCTAGCTAATTACTACCACCAACTAAAGTAAGTTTTAATGAAATACGAACAAAATCGAAATAAAAATAATATTTGAAATAAAAAGTATTTAGTATCACTCGTGAAATTGCCGTTTAAATGAAAGTAAGTTGTCAAGATATAGCAACCCGAATTTCAACAAATACAACTTCATTGATAACTGGCCAGCTTTTGCTTTCACTTTTTATTGTACGTACCACTAAACAAACAAGTTACATTTATAACTGCGATTGGATTGGAGATTTTTTTTTTATAGAGGGGGCAAACGAGCAGAAGGGTCACCTTATGGAAAGTGACTTGTGTTGCCGGCGTTTGAGGAATGAGTATGCTCTTTTCTTGAAGGTGAAGCGACGAGGTGACCGCTTAAACCACTACGCCATCCGTGCTGTCAATAATGGGTCATTGGCAATTCAAACAAGAGCCTTGTCAATAGCTTACTTATTATTTTATGGCATAGGGGGCAAACAACCAGACGGGTCCTCCGATTCTAACTTTCTACCACCACCACCGTACATGGATACCTGCAACTCAATAGTCATAAGAGCGACGCCGCCTTTTAAGTCCTCTCAACCTAACCTCACTCACCCGTTTCTTTAAAGTGGGGTGTGTAAAGTTATACCGAAAAAAGACTCAACGAAAGAATTGCTAAACCAGTTTTCCGTGAGACAGTTCTATTACTCCGGTCGACCCAGGCCATTTGTGTCGAAGATACGCTCTCCGAAGGTCATTAGAATCCCAGTCTAAACATTCAACTTAGATATTTTCTTCATTTTTTTAGAGTTCCGTACCTAGAAAAAAAAACGGAAACCTTAGAGGATCACTTTATTGTCCGTCTGTCAAGACCCTTTATATCGTGAACTCGTTCAGGTATCGAGTTGAAGTTAAAACCATATAGTTAACTCTATAGTCCCTTGCAGCTATGTCACAAAAAACGCATATTTCGTACCTAATAATTTGTACGGCATCCTCAGTGGGCGAGGCTGACTCGCACTTGTCTGGATTTTATTTATTTGTACGAAAGGTGGCACTCAAAATACATCTTTTTTTTTTTTGTGCGGAAATCCCCTCGGATACCACCTATCGGTGGCATGTCGGACTACTTGTCGGGTACTAATAGCCGGGGAACCAGGTATACCCTAGAAAGGAAGTCCCTGGTGCTCTCAAAATACATCTAGACTCATTGCCACTATCATAACATTCATCGGTTGTGTAGTGGTAGCGTATGCGACTGCTGTGCTGTGGTCTCGGGTTCGATTCCCGGGTCGGACCAAACGTTTGTATGATCAGCAAATATTTGTTTCGGAATTTGGGTGTTTTCTATGCATATATTTGTGTATGTATGTATTTACAAAAAAAAAGTATTTAAGTATTCTATCAGTCAATTTAGCTTTTATAGTACAAGCTCTGCTTAGTTTGAAACTAGATGGCGCTGTGTGTCAGATGTCTGAAATATTATAAAAAATTATGAGACGTGTGAAGTTATTATTATACTTTTTAAATTTTCCGTTTTAACCGTACACCCTCTGCTTTTCTTTATATTTTCGTTTCGTTGTATATTTCTTTAAAATTTTTAGTATTTTTAAATCGCAATAAACAATAAAATATTTTAAAATTAAATTATGTATAAGTACTGCTTTTGTCTAATATTTGCCGTAAAACGACCTTGTGCAAATGATAGAAAAGTAATGAAATTAACTTTAAGTTATATTTAAATCAAATTTTATTTCACAATATTATGAAATAAAATCTGTTTAAAAAATAATCGATCGGGCTTAAGTTATTAGGAAATTGATATTATAGGATTTATAGTATAGGATAGCAAACGAGCATATGGGTCACCTGATGGTAAGTGACAACCCCGCTCATATATCCTTGCAACTCAAAAGACACAAGTGTATCACCGCCATTTATTGATGGTTCCCGCTCCACAGAATTCTTGGAATCTTTAGTCTCTGGTAACTTCACTTTGTTTGGTGTGATACCATGGACTTACAGAGAAAGTGAAGTCCAGGCCTCAATTTTGCTATTTTATGTTAACGTCCAAGCCACTGTCATTCCATTGACACGCTATTAAGATGCCATTGAGATGCCATTGACATCGGTCAAAACATCGGTATATTACTAACATAAATTCACAGTGTCAATGGACAGTCGAATATCATAGCCTTTCAAATTTAAGATGCATCGTTTACCAAACTATCACAAAGACATCAACGACATTTGTATTAGTGACATTTCAGTGACAAGCCATTCGGTCTGACATAGTTAGTAGAATACGAAAAGTGCTAAACATTCCATCGACAGACTATTGATAGCATATTAGAATAGCAGAATTGAGGCCCTGATTTAGCCGGCCATATGTACCAAAGCATGGCTCTCCCACGGTAATTTGAAGTGTTATTTAGAGAAATACTGTAGATCAGTCCCCCAGAATTTCCTTGTAGATAAATGCTTAAGAACATTTTTTAACACTTTTCTGTCAAGAATATAAATACTCGTAGTTTTATTGCATTATCACAGACAAGGCTTACACTATGACATTAACAATTAAAAATGATATTTTATTAACGTAGCTCTCGTAATTAAAGAAAATGACTTCAAGTTTTTTCCGCATCATAGCTATGTTTATTTTCCTTATCAGACTATATAGATGTTTGCAATTTACAAATAAATACTTGCGTCATAATGTATTTTCTGACATCTACAAGACTTATGTAGAACTTTGGAAGGTTACTGGTTTATAGCACATTTTTTTAAATAGTGCCATCTATGGAATTTTATTTCAACCATTGATATTCTGTTGTCGGTCT